GCTGGCCCCCCTCATGCCAATCTCACAATGCAAAGTTCACTCAGTCCATCTCCAAGAGTCCCCATAGTCTTTTTTTATTTATTTGTTCTAATCGGTTATACGTGATAGCAGAATGTTTTTCGATTCATTGTACACAAATGGAGCACAATTTTTCACTTCTCTGGTTGTACCCGAAGTAGGGTTACACCATTTCCTACAATCATACATGTACCTAGGGTGATGATGTCTGTTTTATTCCACCCTCTTTCCTATCCCCATGCCCCCTCCCCTTACCCCCTCTCCTTCAGTCCATCCAAAGTTCCTCCATAGTCTTAACAATTCTAGCAATGTTCAAAAGTCCAAGTCCAAAGTCTCCTCTGAGACTCAAGGCATACTCTTATTTCTGAGCCTCCTGTGAAAGTCAAAATCAAGTTGCATCATGTCTGTGCACAGTTTTTGGGAATTATGACATAAGTTGCATCATGTCTGTGCACAGTTTTTGGGAATTATGACAAGATTCTTCAAGATTTCATTCATTATTCTGCTTATGATGGTAGTTATAATTCAATTATGGAAAATATTTTGGAAGCATGTTGCAAATTGACTCTGGTCTTAGGGATTTGTTTGTCATGTGATAAGGATAACAGAGGAAATGGTAGGAAAGTTTGAGAGAAGCAATGCAATTGAGCCAAAAATGTGGCTTTGGTATTCCTATTATCTTCAATAGAGAGCCTTTCATGAACTTATTCATGTCATGATTTAGTCAATGAAAAAATTATATTTATTATCAACAAAGACTTATGGGTTCAAAATGTTTTTTTTTCAATATATTCATAAACACACTTTCTATGTTTCTTCAGCCTTAACCACAGATAGATATTTTCTTACATTGTCATAAAGCATTAATTTAATAAGTGAAAGATAATTTTAGTTCCTACTTACCCCTATATTGACTTCTTGTAACTGCTCCAGACTGTCAATTAAATATGCTTTAAGCTTGTGATTGCACATAATGTGCTTAAATAAAATTTATTTTGAGGCCACTCCCACGTTTTTTATACGCAACCAGATAGCTGTGATGAAGCTGTTAATTGTATCAACAAATAAGGCTGAGCTCAAAATAACTTTGAAAAAGTTACCTATGATCATAGCTATACATCAGATCTCATATCATTCAATTGGAAAACATCAACCCATTACTATCTTCTACTATCAAGTGTTACTTTAGTAAAATATCATAATATCTCACTATAAAAACTAGTCAGCAGGTGCTGGTAGTAAATATTTTCTCTCATTCTGTAGGCTCTCCATTCATTTTCTTGATTGTTTCCTCAAAGGACTCAAAAAACTTAACAATAACAACAACAAAAACTCCAAGCCCAATAGAGTAGGGAGGAAGAGCAGGAAGAAAAGATTGACATTAAACAGAGGCACGAGATGGGAGGGAAAGAGAGAGAAAAGTGGAATTGCATGGAAATGGAAAGAGACCCTCATTGTTATAAAAAACTACA